ACATGTGGGGGGTGATGAAGATTTTTTTTTTTTTTTTAACACTGATAGCTTTTACACTCATAAAGGCCGTAAAAGCAATTATTTCTCCTTCTCTCTGACTGCATTCTTGCAGCCATTGAGAACTACTGAGTGAGATGTGATTGGTCACAGCTTGTCATATGGTACAAGGCTGTTGTGAACAGCCTTGTACCATGTGACCTCTGTGATCATTCACAGATTTCACACGTAGTAAGCAATGATGTCAGTGAATGAAGTGACATCTTGCTTACTGCTATTCATGTGATCACTGATTGGCCAATCAGTGATCACATGATCGGGACCTCGCACAGAGGTCCCGTCCGAGGATCGGTGTTCCACTGTGCCCGGAGGACACAGCGGGCCCCGGATCGAAGTGCTGCGCACTCCCAGGGAGCGCACACAAGCAGGATGCGGGGAGGACTATTATAAACGGCCACCCGACCCTGCACTGCCAACGTCCGGCCGTTTATATACAACGGCCAGATGGGAAGTGGTTAAAACTGAGCTGGGCAGATCTACTGAGCTAGCCAGGACCAACTCTTGAGGGATTCTAGTCCACATTTTCACAGCTATTACTGTGAAGAAACCTTTCCGTATTTGGAAATTATGTTTGGAGGAAGAGAGATTTAAAGAGTGCCCCCCTTTTCTTCTGTGATGACCTCAGGGTGAATAACTCTACACTGAGTTCACTATATGAACATGTATTTATACATTCAATAAAAGAGTGCAGCGCTGGATAAGCTTATAATAAACAATTGTCACCAATGAATAATATCGCCAATACAATAAATAATATTATATAACTTAGAACTATAAGTGAATGTGGCGCAACATCAAGCACCAAATAGGAGAGTGATAAAATCAAAAGTCTGTAATTCAGATAAGTGCTCAAAAATAGTGAAGGCTTGACGCCATCAGGTCAGCAAATTAGTGTTTTTCATTCACATATAATCAATTGTGACTTCCGGTGAAAATCCGTGTTATTCAATCCGTGTGATAAAGTATAAAATCCCCCAGAGGAAGCGTGGCTGCAGAGGAACCCCAGGCTGTCTGACAGATCTACCTAAAGGAGTTCCCTACAGAGTCATATTCTGCTTAATGCGCATACTTTATGTGCATCTGGTGAGTGCTCATTTTATACAAATATCACACGGATTGAATAGCACGGATTTTCACCGGAAGTCACAATTGATTATATGTGAATGAAACACTAATTTGCTGACCTGACCACGTCAAGCCTGCACTATTTTTGAACACTTATCTGAATTACAGACTTTTGATTTTATCACACTCCTATTTGGTGCTTGATGTTGCGCCACATTCACTTATAGTTCTAAGTTATATAATATTATTTATTGTATTGGCAATATTATTCATTGGTGACAATTGTTTATTATAAGCTTATCCAGCGCTGCACTCTTTTATTGATTGGTTTTCACTAGGTTTTAGGGTTCCTACGTTGGTGCATATGCAGCTGTTATAATATTAATCCTCATAACTTTTTTACTTTTTTATTAATTTATTCTGATTTGAGCGCTTGCTGTATCCCTGATATTATGTATTTATACATGTTGATCATATTCCCCCTTAATCTCCTCTTCACAAAATTCAGTTCCAATAATCTTTCCTCATAGCTGAGCTCCTCCATGCTCCATGCAGTTTGATTGCCCTTCTCTGCACTTTCTCCAGTTCCCCAATGTAATTTTTGTGAATTGGTGCCCAAAACTAAATGGCATATTCCAGATGAGGTGTTACTAATGATTTGTACAGGGGTAAAATGATCTCTCTCTCTCTCTCTGGAGTCTATACCTCTTTTAATACAAAAGAGGATTTTGCTCGCTTTAGAAACCGCGGCTTGGCATTGCATACCATTATTAATCTTATAATCTACCAGAACTCCCAGATCCTTCTCCACCATTGATTCCCCCAGTTGTACTCCCCCTAACATTAAAAGCAGTACAAATTATACTGCTTATCTACACTGGTTAAAGAAGAAAACAATCTTTTTGTCATAGAAAATAAGTCATTTTTGTAGTATTACTCAAAGGAAACCCCATGAAAATTGGATGGATATATTTTTTTCCTTGGTTACTATTGGAAATAAATAGTAAATAATAAAAAAATCATTATTCCAACATAACATTTGCACACACTTATATATTTACCCCCAAAATTTAATCCTACAGAGCCATCTATAGAAACATTGGAAGGCCAGTAGTTTCAGCCTCTCAACCTAGAGCTGGATACTGCTAGTCACTGAGAGGCAGTCAGGACGTATTTACTGCAAGGTAAAGAAGGAATTTGCCATGGGTGGCATTTTCGGGGGGGGGGGGGCACAGTGCCCCCAGGAAGGGACACACGTGGTACGTGACAGAGGATGGGGACCAGGTGAGGCACTGCCTGGGCTCTGCCATGGAATCTGAGAGAGGCTGCTGGAAGGTGTAGGTAGAAGCCTATTCTTGCTCCCACACAAGGATGACACTGGGCTTTCCTGACCATGGCTCCGGGGATGGCCAGCTGCTTTCATTCCAGAGGTGAGTGGAGGAACGTCTCTCTCTCATCTCTCTCCTTTTTTTAGATAGTGTGTGTGTGGCAATTATAGTATTGCCTAGGACTGCACGAAAACAAAATACACCAATGGGGCCAGTGGTTCCAGCATGAGTGCTAACAGGGGCTTGCAGAAGCTGCTGAGATTGGCTCCTGTTTTTAAACAGTGCTGTGACCATTAGTCACTATCAAAGCACCATTTTAAAACCGGACTAGGGACTCAAGTGATTAAGTAATCACAAAGTTGGAATGTACACTGTGCTGCACAAATGAAACTCAGTTTCCATTCTGGCACAGTGTCTGTGTGCTGGGACAACTGCACTCCCATGCATATGTAAGAGTGACATCATCCTGCTTTGGTCAATGAGAATGATCCAGCCCTGCACCCGGAAGCGGGGTACAACATGACAGCACTGACAAGGGACTTCAGACCATAGAAGGGAGGTAGGTATCATGGAGTTAGCTCTAATTTAAGTCAGCAACTCTTCTCTATCTCCTCTTTTCAGCACACATGCATGCATATGTCTAAAGAGAGGTTGTATTGTATCTGTTGGCACACCTTACTGGTTTGCCCATAGTTCATACATGGTGCTATAGCCATTGGTGGATGGCACTACCAAATAATCATAGGAAAATGCGGATCTCACCAGCACACAATTGTATAGTGATCATCTTTTCCCTCAACTACAGGTACTCCCTGGAGCTTGGCAGTGGCCTCCTGTGCTGGCCTTAATTGTGACTGTTATTTCTGTGTTCTATCACTCCAGCAACCGGGCCTTGTTATTTTAAATCAGACTTCTGAGTTTCAGAAGTCACAGTGCCAGAAATGTTATCCAACTGCTGCCAAGGCCTTCCACATAGCTGCATCTCACATCTATGATACGGTTTTCAGAGGATAGTCGCGGTTGCTTTTAATTGGTTATCAGCAAGTGGCAATAGGTAAGTTATCAAAACGGAACACATTCAGCTAAATACTAGGAAGAAATGCAAGTGCTATTTTACCTGCTAAGGGATGTATAATTGTGTATCTATTGCTGAGATTTACACATCCCTGCCACACAGCACAGTCCATCAGGTGATCTCTGCCACCATTTTACTTTCACCCACAGGTCTCCAGTCCACCCACATTCAGTGACTGGGCAGTGACAGGAGACGCATCAAACTGATCTCATTCCTTGCACTGCACCACACAAGATTGTCTCTTTGTGCTGTTTCTTACTCCCCCACTTCTGAGCTCTGTTGTATAGTAGACAGCATGGGGTTGATACCAAGTCAAATTCAGTTATTTACACTGCTTGCATTAAAAATAAGTTTAGGATACATATACACTGGCCTACCACGGCTGCGGGAACATGAAAAACACAGCAAAAACATGTGTAAACATATCGCAGTGACACACTATTTCAATATGTTTTGTGTTTTCCCACGGCCAGGCAGTCAAAACATTCCTATCCTGAACACATTTCTTCCACGTTCAGGAGAGGAAGGTTTAAAATGTTACTAAACCCAGGACCCTGTATTCACTATGCCTGGTCTCCCACAGTACACACAACATGGAAATTAAATTATTTTAGTAAATATAAACTGCTTAATACCTTTTCCGTGACTTCCGCAGAGCACTGGTTAAAGCTTGTAGGAGGAGTTTTCTTTCTGCTGTAGAAGTATGTGAAACCTCTGACCCTCTGTCTGGACAGTGCTGATTGGCCCTGTGCTGATCACATGCACCCACAAAAAAAAAAAAAACAACCTCTAGCAATACACACCAAACTGAGCATGTGCATGTAACCAAGGGTTCAGTCTGTATCAGGTGGTCATTTCAACAAGAGGAGGGGCAGAGAAGAAAGGATCAAACAGCCTTTTTACACAATGCAGAGGATTAACCCCTTAGGTTCCACAGTGAGTATAATAAACATGCTTTACTGCATATACAGACTGATTTTACAGTTGTGGGTTTTGAAAGGGTTAATAGTTAAACGTTTGCTTTGTGCCTACTAAGTGGTTTATGTACAAGATGTTCCCTTGGGATTGAAATGCTGTTATCTATGCAGAACTTGCAGAAGTTACTGCATAGTTACAAAGTCTGGCTTAAAAAAGACAAACGCCCATCCAGTTCAACCATAGAAAAAAAAAAGTTATAATCCTATACCCACAGTTGATCCAGAGGAAGGCAACCCTGTAACAACTACCCTGTTGCAGTTTTGTTTTGACTAGCCATAGAGTAGAATACTGAAATTTGTTTTCTGTATTCTGATTGGTGTTTTATGGAAACCGCCTGAAATATGCAGTGTTATCATTTATTACTTAAGGCCTGATCAATATTAAAGAAGTTGAATTTTGCATCACACATCTAGGTGTCTGACTTGCATTGTTCCCAAAGCACTTTGAACTGAATGTATGTATAGAGGAGGGCTGGCCTAAATTGATATTCCTAACAGGTTTAGTAACACTTTAATCTCTCCTAAATGCGGCAACTCTTAAACTCTGCTAAAAGCCTATGTGTACATGGGCGAATAGGCGTTTATGGAGCTGAGTTTAGGCGCTTTGGCAAAAAAAGATGCTAAAAGCTCCTAAACTCAGGTTTAGGAAGATGGGTGAGTGGGGGCTCTCTCAGAAATCCATCTCCATTGATCAGTGTTGTCAGATAGCTAAACGGGTGGGAGGGGGTTGCTATTTGAATCCACATCTCAGCAACCCCTTCACTGATTTAGATGGTGACGTGCTAAGTGCACAAGATCTTAGGGATTTAATAAGCTTTCTTTTATTCTTGTGATATTTTTCCTAGAAGACCACAGTAATTCGTGGACATGTGGGATGTCCCAAAACAATCCAATTGAGGAGTAGGCAACAGCCACTAAGAGAGAGCTAATGGATGAGGGATCTTACTATAACAGCATCCAAAGTTAATAATACCTGCAAAAGGCTAGATGAAAAAGGGCAAAGTAAATATGGAATTGTTATGACCAAGGAAAGGCACTGAGAACCAATCTACAGTCAGGATAGGTAGCACCAGTAGGGGGAAACTGATACCTGAAAGAGTGAATGATCTCAACAATAATATGGAGGACAGACAATCATCCCTCAAAGAAAATAGATGGAAGAACAACTATCCTAACAGGAGAGGGAAAGTTGAACCAACACATAGGGTGAAAGAATATTTACTAAGGAAAAGGTCCTAAGCCTAAGATACCTAACTCTTGACCTCAGTGAAAGGAAGGCTAGACAACGTTCTGTATGTCTTAAGCAAAAAATAACTATTGAACTGATGGAGGTTGAAGAACACTCATAACCCTAGACTTTAGGGAAAAGGAGATCTACAATATGACAGCCCTCAGCGACAAACTAAAGGGAGAGAGGGAAGGAAATGTTCAATGTGGAAACAAAGAAGGGCAGAATACTATGTCACTTTTTAGGGAAGGGGTAGAGAGTTCCACTTACTTAAACTTTTCTTCCTCCCATGAAATTGGGCAGTACGTGTTCATCTAATTCTGTCAGCTGCATCCAATTCAGCCTCATCCTATGGCACTTTGATGGCTTTTGGATCTGTTTTTAAGGTAGAGCAGTAGGTTGTTGGCAGTCTTCCTTATTTCCACTTTCTTCTAGGTAGTGTCATGCAGCAGTTAATGTTTACATAGTGGTAAAAGCTTTCATGGAATTAGCTTGCTTGCCAAGTGTCCAGTGTCTTTCTCAGTATGGGCTTGGGACCTGCCTTGGTCCCAAGGGATCTGCTTTGGTTCCAAGGGATCCACACACCTATATAAAAGAAGGAAGGCTGGTTGAGATTATTTTAATGCAATAGATGTACAGGGCCCTCAAAAAGAAAAGAATGAGAAGGAAACCATCCAACTCACACCCATAGATGTTTCAGAAATGTGATAACCACAATACAACCTGGCTGATTATACAGTACAATATACATACATAATTAGTCTGATATATCTTTATATAGGAAGATGAAATATCTTTAGGAAGGAAGATGATGTTTCTTTCTGTAAATAGTTTCCATAAGCGCCTCCGAATTTACAGTTTCCCTCCCATTGGAACTCTGAAGAGAGGCAACAGAGTGCTGTGTCTGCTGACCTATCAGAGTGGAAGTACAGAACTAACCAAACTAACCAGATGGCAATTTCCTTGCGAGGAAGAAAAAGAGGTTGCACCTGTGATCTGAACCCAATGTTTAAGGTGAGGAATATCAGTTACATGGATGCAGAAGCAAGACTAGTGTCCACGTTATTTCCATATCCAGGACTCACAATCACACCATCAACACTGTCCAACGTAAGGAGGCAGATATATTTCAGTTACAGGTAGAGTACTCAAATTCTTCCAGAGATAAAGGTATTGCACACTTTATCTAAGTGTAGTGGAAATCAGAAAAAAAGAAGACACCCACATACAGATCCCCTACTACTTGGTAAAGATGCCTGTCCCATAGAACCAGACTCAAAAGTAGGAAAATTAATGCATCCAGTTAGAAAAATATTTATAGGCTGAAGGAAAGGGAAAAGGTATATTCTCACACTATCCAAAAACCATCAAATAGTAAATGGGCCTTGAAAGGCTAAGCCCAATTTGTTTGCATTGACCAGATTCTGTAAGGCAAGATGGAAATCAGAAAATACTGAGTGACAGCATGAAAAGTGAGTATGTGACTGGAGTTCCTAATCAATCCCACAGATGCTAAAAAAGAGTAACTAGGATAGTATCTGCTATACTCAAAGAGTAAAGAGGAGATGACACTTGGTATAATAGGAACTGCCAGACTCTAAGATGTTGAACTCTCTCAGTGAGGATCTATTAGGTTTCATAATGAAGAAGCTAGGAAGTAAGGGAGCACTCAGGTGGACATAATTGCCAGTCCCAAAAATCCAGGGAAGCTTAAGAAAAGCAGTTACATATTCAGGGGAAACAGCAGGAACACAGACTTCCTAACCTTGTAGGTTGAAAAAGCCCTCATGACAAAGAGAGGTCTGAGGAGAGTTAAACACCACAAAGTGTGCAATTATCTTAAATTTAAATAGACTCCATTGAATAAAAGAAGTGGACAATAGAAAGGGGGAGAATACTCTAAAATAGTCCCTAGGCAATATAGAAGGACTAAAATCTTAGTGCATGGGGAGCCTAAATATTCCAGGATTAGGCACACTGGGGTACAGAAGCAGATGCCTGGCCTAGAGCAGAAGCTGCAGGTTGAAACATGAGCATCTAAATGGAGAGGAAGAAATGCTTATGAGTTCCAATAGGATACACAAACAATAATCCACAGGTAAAGGTGGGGGTGTACCTTCAAACAGAAGGTTTATGGTTTTGAGATATATGGTTCAAGTGAGAGGTGGACTGTTATCACCTACAGGATATTACAGCTGTAGTGGGTGAATATTGAGGTTCTTCTACCCCATCTGCAGATCTCCTGCATAGAGTATATGCACATAGCGAGGACCATCAGGATCAGGAACTATCCAATGCATCAAAGAAGTAACATTTTCTCTCAATGGGTAAGTGATAAAAATTTGCTGGCACTGACGTAAGGCTTAGCAGCCCTTAGCAGCTGGAAGTCTTTTTACACTTCTTCAACAGACTGCTGGCTCTATCACTTCCATGGCTGTGGTAATGGACTGACCTCCACCTGCCATGCTTGTCATCCCCTTATGGGATAGCAATAATGCTAAGTGAAAAAACTAATTTAAAAAATAAAGTAAAGCAATAAAAATAAATAAATGCATACATTTGTGAACTGTAAAAGCTTTTGAATATCACCTATGGACAATTTAGGGTGCAGCAGTTTATTGCAGTTTCACAGACGCATGCAATTTTAGGGCTGGCATGCTTGGTATCTATAAAAGTTGGGTAAACAGTTACTCCATGTGACATATGTTATGTGACATAAAAAAAAACACATCTGCCACCATTTTATTCTCCTAGGTCTTTTCTTCCCAAGCATGAAGCCAAAGTGTTCTATGTATATGGACAGGCATCACTGCCATAAGAGACAAACTCTGATGCTTCTAAGAGGTCATCAAAACTGAAGCAGAGTGTATTAGGCGTTTGATCCTCTAGTTCTAAGAGGACCTTTTAGGGCGGTTTCACACTGATCTGCTGTGGTTTGGCCACAGAGCAGTATATCTCCATTGTTCGTGCAGGTTACCTGCGCCTACTCAGACTTCTGTTAGATTGGGTGATTTTGGTGCACTTTTAGAAAACACACCAAATCTGCTTCATGTAATAGAAGTCTTTGGGAAAGTGCAGGTAACCTGCATGAAAATCATCGGTATACCTGCGCTTTGACCAAACCACAGTGGATCAGTGTGAAACTGTACTCGAAGGATAAAAAGATTACTTCAACCTTTTTACTGCTTACAGTAGTGGCACAGAGGATACTCCACAGGCTGAGTCTTGGCTAATGAAAGCGATCTAGCGGCTGCGCAGCCACATGATTGCTTTCTGTGACCCCCAGAGTATGCCCCCTGGCATGACCCCTTGACCACACTTTCCCACTTGTTGGGTGTACAGGATGCCCCCCAGCAACATAATTTCCTGCTTGTGTGATTGGCCTACTGATTTTTTCAGAAATCTGCACTAAGATACAAGTCCAATTTAGTGTAACTGGGTTGAAGGGAGGGAGACATTCTTTGAATGAATCCAGAAGCGATGTGTAAAACATCACTTACGGTTTCTGATGTCACTTTTTCTAGCATATGCGGCCAGAGAAGCAGCAAATAGAGCATGATCCATTTGCTTCAATGAAATGCAGGTGAGACATCAGGGGTCTACAAGACTCCTGCTCTCCATTAAAGATAACCTGTCTTAATAATATTATATCATATAAGGGACTTTTTATTTACTTTCACTAAAACTTTGTCCCCTATGTGATATAAATAAAAAGACAAAACAAAGTTACACCCAAGCATTTGAAAAAGGTTTATCTGATCTCGTCCTCATGTATGTGCATACATGAACGCAATCACATCTGTTGATGCTGAATGCATGATCTGTAGGGGCTTTTAAAGATTTGCCTATGGAAAATATAGGGTACCGAAGATCACCATAATTTTAAAGGTATGCACAAGTTTAAAGCTTGTTTCTTTTTATGTGCGCAACCTCATCTTTCATATTTAAAAAAAAAAAATGGATAACATAGTATTTGTGTGCCCTACAATTATTATTATTATACAGTATTTATATAGCGTCAACAGTTTGCTCAGCGCTGTACAATATAATGGGAGACAGTACACAAGACAGCACAGTAACAATACAATACAATACACAAGGGGTTCGAGGGCCCTGCTCCTTGGAGCTTACAATCTAGGAGGGGATAGTGGTACAGGAGGAAATAACTGCGGGGGATGGAGTGGTAGGAAGAGTGGAGGAGATCGGCAATTAGGTGGGGGCGGGGTAGGCTTCCCTGAAGAGATGGGTTTTCAGGGTGCGCCTAAAGGTGAGGAGAATAGGTGA